TACTGACAGTGAAGGAAAATGTCTGAAAGTATGAGGCACTTTAAATTAAATAAAACATTAACATAGGCCTCGGCATTAGCTGTGCACACTCTGTGGGCATCACTGAGATGTGGATTTGGCTTTTTGCATTTCATGTCACCAACGGAGCTTAAGCTGGCTTATCCACTAAGTCGAAAGATAAGTGGCAGTGAATGTGTAACCACCTGATTATTAGCCAACAGTAAGTGAAATTAACTTCTGAATAATCTCTAAAGCACTTTTATGCTTCCTCCTTTACCCTCTTCTTTTTTCTTGGGGTCACGTCTCGTGCTGATATTCATTTCCCAACCCTGCGCTCTTTAAACAACAGCTATGTCACTTAGATTTCCTAGTCTCCAACACCCTTACCACTTATCTCAATAAAGTGGGTAATGACTTAAGACTGTGTGTTTATTTTAATCAGTATTAAATCTTCTTGGAGTCGAAACGTAGCGGAAGGTTACCAGCAGACGGGGTACTGCATGCCAAAAGAAAAGTCCTGTTAGCACTGATTCCAGCCTAGATAAATATTTTCATAGGTGCCAGGTGTTCACTTGACATTATCCACATATATGTGGAATATAGTAAATTATATTTTGATTGCCTTTCTTTTGTTTTTGCGTGACCACAGTACATAATTAGCACCTTTAAAGTAGACAACTAGAGCATAGCAAAAAAAAAATAATAGCGAGAATAAGAAGAGGGGCAGGTGGGAAGGGGAATTTTACATTACACGTTTCTTAAGTTTTATGAATACAGAATAATTTACAGAAGCTTAACACTGAAGGGAATAAAACTGAAGGTTGCAAACTTCAGAGATGTTAACGTAAGCCATCAGCTGACTTAGGGGTACACTACAAAGGAAGTTCAACAAAGTTTGTCTTGCTTCGTGTTAGTTAACTTGACAAAACGTAAAATCCCAGTCAGTGATAATATCATATCACAGCGGTTCTTTTTTCAACCCAGTCTTTGTCCTTCACACTTACATAAAAGGGAACCATTTAATTTTTCTTCCAAAGAAAATAAATTCAGTCAGCGCCACCTAGTCGAACTCTAGATATCAGCAGAGGAACAGATGATGATTTCTAAGATGATGAAAAAAAATATATAACAAAATGAAACACTGGTGCTAAATATGCGACCAGGTTTGGCGCTTATTATTATTATTATTATTATTATTATTATTATCATAGATCCAGCTGGAAATGACCTTAAAGCCATTCTCTAGGCTTTTTTCTGGCTCCAGTTCAAACCTCAGTTCAAATGCTTTAGATTGGTTGCATGAATCATATCTAATAAACTGGCACCGGCAAACATACACGTTTAAAATGGTTATATAATACTAGGGATTTGAACTGCTTTTTATTCTTTCTTTTTTTTAACATAAAAATACAGGTGTAACAGCTTCTGAAGCTGTTTAAACA